AGTGTACTGTTTTTTTGAGAATATTTTGTTTTTGGTGTATTTTGTTTTGTTTTTAGTGCATTTTGTTTTGTTTTTAGTGTATTTTGTTTTTCATAAAACAAATGTTTTACAAGATCTATTTTCCACGTTTCTTGTCATCGAATAGTAAGGATGTTTAAGTGTGGAAAATTTCAGTTTACAAAACAAATATTAAATGTAGATTTCAACTTTTGTAATAGCATTCAAATAAAAAAAAGTTTATTTAAGACATCAAAGTCGTATTGCAATTAATTTAATATCAACAGAAAGATAATCTGAACTTTATTGTAAGTAGATAAGGTGTATTTTTGTATTACCATAACTCAGCGCCTGTACTCGGTGACCGTAATTGATGTCGCGAATGCTTCTTTGAGTTGACATCGTTAAAGGCAGTTTCGTTAGCTGTGGTGCGAGATATTTCCTATCCACGCATACTATACCTCCCGCATGGGAGAACCGTTTTCAATACTAATATTATCAGGATTATTACCGTCACCAGCTCACTATACGTACCCACCGAGGGGCTAGGAGCCTACCCGAAGTTAGGGTGACTAAGCCATAGTCAACCACGTTGGACAAGGGCGGGTTTTTGACTTCACGCTTCTTTGAATTTCTTCGCCGATATGTGCAGGCAACACGATACTTTCGACGTTAGAACGTCGGGTAAATATGTTCATAATATTTTAAATTCGAAAAATCGGAATATTACATTTCTGCATAGCAGGATTAAAGCCCGAGACCTGTAGATTAAAAGTCAAGTGTTTGAACCACTGAGCCATCGACGTTCTCCAATTCGACGTTAGTTCAACGCTCAAGATTTGTTCGTCCAATTTTCATTACTCTCCTGCATACCTTATCTAATGCACATGTACAGTCGTGAACAATATCCGAATGGTTTTAATTCTTTTTGTGAGAGTTGAAATGTTAATTTGCAAGCCTTTTCTACGCGTTTGTACTACTTTTGTCGAACAACGTTCATTGTGCCGCTGTAATGAACGTGGGAACTGGGTTGTATTGAACTGTTGCTTTTCAAATATCCATTTATCTTTGTTCTATTATACTCGCTAATATGAAACAAGTTGCTAATAATAATAATGTTGATTAAATATTATGTTATTTTTTACCTTACGTAATAATATTTTAATAATTGAATAAACAATAATACCCCCGAGATGCAGTCGTGGATATTTGACTCTAAGTGGGAAGTGAATTAAATTCCTTAACTGTGTATTCACATATTTATAGTTAATACTAAGTAACATTATTTGCTTCATAACAAATGTTATAATCCCAGTAATTGCACATCCTAGGAAAAGTAAGGAATGATGGGTCAATAAAAGCTCGATACAGACTCAATAAAGGATTTTATGACCGTATTTATTGACTAGCTTTATCGTAGACCGCCTTTACTTAGAAATAAGTTATTTATAAATCGAAGTATATCCTTACATAATACTAGCTGTTGCTCGCGACTTCGCCTGCGTGTAATTAAAAAATATAGCCTATGTTTTTCACAGATAAATCTTTCTAACTGTGAAAGAATTTTTAAAATCGGCCCAGTAGTTTTTGAGTTATTACAATACATACAAATTACAAAAATACAAATCTTTTCTCTTTATAATATAAGTAAAGATAAAGATATAGATTTAAAAACTTCACCTATATAATTGGAATCATATTATAAATGCGAAAGTTTAGATGGATGGATGTTTGTAAGTGTTTGTAACCTATACGGCTGAACGGATTTTGATGAACTTGGCACAGAAGTAGAGGATAGTCTTGAAAGAACACATAGGCTACTTACTTTTGTATTTTTTTATTCCTAGCGGACGGAGTTGCAGGCGTATGTTTGTATAAATTAATTTACAATTTTGCCTACTCACGTTCGTTTTAACTAAACAGTTGTATCGTTCAGTTAAGATTACAGTTGTAACTGAACGTGTATGGCCGGCTTTATCACCCGATATCGTTAGTGCTAATGCAAGTTTGATTTCTCTTTTACTTGATGATCCGTCACTTTTTCACTTCCTTGTAAAAGCTTTGAAAAAGCACATTAAGTTATACCACTTTATTAGACTAGATTACACAAGGATGAAAACTTATTATGAAACTATCGCTTTGATATAAAACATAAACCCAATATGTAGGTTTGGTATTAAGTTTTTTTTTTATAATATAGGGTGGCAAACGAGCGGCCTGAATCTACCGAAATGGAAAGCAACCGCTGTCCATAAACATCTGCAATTGCAGATGCGTTGCCTACCTTTAATTGACGGAGGAGGAGACGCACATAAAAAAAGACATTTCTCCTTCCTATGCGTCTCCAACACCGTCAAATCCACTTTTCCTCCCCATCCTTTCCTCTTAAGAAAAGGGTAAAAAGGGAAAGAGACTAAAATTAAGCCTCCGGCACCACACTCATCAGACGAAACGCGGAATTGCTTCCACTTCACGCCTGTTTTCTGTGTGTTCATGGTATTACACCGGGCGAGCCGGCCCATTTGTGCGAAGATGTTGAAGCGGGCTCTACCACAGTTAGTTTTAGAAAGAGAGTAACGGCCGGAACCTGAAACGATTCATGAACAATTCGCTTTATAAGCGCCGCTTAATATCTGACGTCAAAATTTTTAGTAACTGTGGTGCGATTGTCGATTATTTCACAGCCAATTCAACTGTTTGTTTGTACGACTACTCGTAAAAATCTAGTAATGTGCGCACTTATGGAAGTTACAGCTCATAAGCTCATAGGAATCAATGCGCGACTTAACAGTTGTGCGATAGTTTAGTCAAAGGCGTGCGCGTGCTCTAACAGTGTTTTAAATTAAAGCGTGGCGTTATCATTACGCTGTTCCAAATTTAAATGTCATTTGGCTACATTATAATTTACTAGCTTTCGCCCTCGACTCCGTCCGCGTGGAATTAAAAAAACAAAAGTGTTTAGCCTATGTGTTCTTCCAGACTATCCTCTACATCCATACCAAATTTCATCGAAATCCGTTAAGCCGTTTAGGCTACAAACTCTAACAAACATCCATCCATCCATCCATCTAGACTTTCACATTTATAATATTAGTAAGAAGTAGGATTGCTATTAATTTTAGTTTTACAAAATCGTAACTAATTAATTATGCAGCCTTTAATTGGCAGTTCTATAATGGGAAAGGTTTTCTCGTATCTAATAAATCTGTGCAGCGCTGCACCGCTTTAATATGATCTAGGTTTAAATGAGTATTGATCGCGTGGTTTTGTAAAGCCCTGTAGCGCTGTGTGAGTCAGGATATGTCAACTGCAAGCATTTCACTGTCGTATTCACAAAAGCACTCGTGCGTTGGATTTTAATAAGTTTTCACGCAAAGTTTTTATAAAGCTTTTGTTCATTAATAAACGCTTTTTTTAAGAGTCTTGAAATATTTGTTTATAAATTACGTAGTTATATTATTGTGGTTGTCTATAGCCACCCCTAACTTAGGTTGATGGTAATAAAATGTTGCTATTATCATTAATGCTGAGTTTCTGAATGTCTATTAGTGTTAGGCTAAACAAAGCTTCAAAGGAGTTAAACTCATGTCACGTAGTTCAGAAACGCATATTAGTTGTCGAACCAAAAGTATTAACGAGTGGTTAAAAGTTAAAAGTAGCTGGGAAACCGGCTATAAGATGTTTATAGTTTTTAAATGATGTAATTATTGTTACAGCTGTAATATTGTGCGCGTATGCGGCCGAGGAAGTGGAGAAGAAGAATGAAATGACAGATCTCGAGCAGATGGAGTCTCAGGACATGAGGCAGGCGCAAGAGGGTAACCAGGACCAGTACAGAACGGGGAGGAAACAGGTAATATTAGACAATTGTAACCGTGTTTACTGCTACATTTGATGCTGCACAGTCATACGAAAAAACATAATTAATCTTATCCTCCTAATATTATAAATGCATGTTTTTTAGAGTTTGTAGCCTAAACAGCTGAACGGATCTTGATGGATTTATTCCTCCTATGTATTCTTCTAGACTATGTTTTACTTCTGTGCTAAAATATAAAACATAATCTGGAAGAATGCTTAAGCTTAGTTCTTTTTTTTAATTCAACGCAAGCGGGACACGAAAACTAGTGATATCATAATGATTGCTTAACTTGGAATAATATAAAGATGCAGTAAATGGCGATGGCATTGTGTGTCATATAACAGTGAGTTAGAGCAAAATAATGAAGTGAACACAGTTAGATAGACACTTAAAGATGCATTAAAAGACGATGGCACTGCGTGTTTTACACGAGGGAGTTAGGGTGGAGTAAGAGCTAATAAATGCAGTCCAGTAGTGAATACAGTTAGAAAAATTCTGCTTTGATAGTAAAGTGCATTCTGTTCTTGTGTGAAAGGGGTTTAGACTTAAAATAAAATGTTTGATACGATTTATCTTGTTTATTAAATGTTATTCTTGGATCAAATCTTATCCATCGTTAGATAGAAGTCATGGTTTATACATCAAATACAAGCCAAGAGAGACAGTCCCGTTGTCGTACTTTAAATTTCAAATACACGCCTTTCGTCTTTCAATGTCACTCAGTCCTAACTACACGATAATAAGTGACTTCAGATCCCGAGCTCTTTGAATTCAAATACCGACATCTAACAGGATTTTATTGCTTCCTGGTTTTACTGTTAGACGTTGAGTTTTGTAACAAGCTTCAATGTATACGGATCTTTTAGATAAAGTACATCTTTGAGTAAACTATATCACAACTGTTTTGTCTCGCTTTGATTCTTGATATGGAGGTGCACACTACTCGATGTCTAGTTATGCAACTAAACAGTTGAATGGGTTGCGAAACAATTGACAATCGCACAACTTTTGTGTGACAGTTTAATCAAAGGTGTGCGCTTACAGATTTAATTTGAGTTTTATGTTAGTTTTCTTCGAAAAAAGATTAAAAATGGAAATTAATGGCTTGTACCTATCTGAGTTACGTGCGTGACGTTATTGTTGGTTTCATTCTTTCAAAGAGTTATTCAATTTTGGAGATGCAATTGAATTTATTTCTTGAATTTAAGAGCCCATATTTACGTAACTTTTGTAAAGAAAGGGAGTCTATATAAACAAAATTAAACGGTTGGGTAAAAAAAAGGTTGAGAAACCAGTGTAATCATACTAATATTATACTCGTAAATGCGAACGTTTAGATGGATGAAATCTGAGGTAGATGATAGTCTGAAAGAACACATAGGCTAGTGACTTTTGTTCTTTTATCCACGCGGACGGAGTCGCTGGCGAAAGCTAGTAAAGTAATGAACACATAAAAGTTCTAATTATAATAATTTAGTTGTTGATGATGATTACATTGTAATATAACATCTTAATGTGCCATAAGTACCACGTTTGATATTAATCTCTCCTTATAACCACAGTGTTTGAATGGCGGCATATTAAAATGTGACAAGTAACATTATCTGAACTCATTATTCATTTTTAATATTAGAGATGTTAGTCTTCAATATTAATTTATTTTATATATATTTCTAATATAATAAAGGGTAAACACACACTACTTTGTAGTGTAGGATGTCAGTAATCATAGTATATTTTTGAACGAGCCGTTGCCCGCAACTTCGTCCGCGTAGTATTAGAAAACATACGAACTATATAAATTACAAATAGCTACGTATCCTCGGGAACCGGACATTTCTCGGGGATGAAGCTTATCCCATGTGTACTCCAGACTTTGTTTTATATCTGTGCCAAATTTCAATAAGATATGTTGAACCGTTGCAGAATGATCAAGTAAACATTAAAAAACTAAATTAATGAATCCCACGGGAACCGTAACTATTCCCGGGATAAAAGTATGTGTTCTTTCAGACTATGCTCTAAACCTGTGCCAAATTTCATGGAGATCCGTTCAGCCGTTCAAGCTACATCCATCTATCCATCCATCCATCTAATCTTTCGCATTTAAAATATTAGTATGAAGTAAGATAATTCTTTAATAAAACACTTACGACACGCTTTAGGCTATATATTTTTACGCTATTAAACTTGGATATAAGTAAAATGAAAGATAACCTTCATATGGGAAAGGGACCATGAACTACATGCTGCCAACATTAAGGAAGCAAAGTTATTATTGTAACGGTAATTTTGAAATTTGCAATTTAGAATGTGACATATGTAAATAATAAGAATTTAACATGTGTAAATATTACTTGACTTGTAATCTACAGGTATTGGGTTCGAATCCCGCCGTCTACCAATGTGATTTTCGAATTTTCATATGTACATAATTTACCTGACGTTCTTACGGTGAAGGAAAACATCGTGATGCAACCTGCACATATCGGCGAAGAAATTCAAAGATATGTGTGAAGTCAACCAACCCGTAATTTGCCAGCGTGGTTGACTATGGCCTAGTCACCACTTAATAGGGTAGGCTCCGAGCCCCTCGATGGGGACGTATAGTGAGCTTGTGATGATGAATTCGATGCGGATGAAGCTGCATGGAAACAGCTAGTTGTATAATAAATTTCATTTAGAATTATTGAGTGTTAAGCGAGTAATATTGGAAACCAGTAATGAGGTCTAAAAGCTAACAATATTAAACGGAGAAAACAATATTTTTTTCTTATAAAAGACAATTACTTTCACACGTGCTTTAGGAATTACATTAAAAAGGACATAATTGGATATGCTGTATTGATAATGCTATTAGAAAATATAGAGTTCACTTCAAGTGTGAATAATTTCTACGCACGAGGACTTTTATTACCTACCCATTTCGTTGAAATGTCATTTGACGCTCAAAATGCAGTTAGTTCGAAACAGGCCACAGCATGTGTTAAGTTATAGGTTATAGTGACAGTTTTCCGAGCTATACTCTTAAGTGGGTAGTGAATTAAATTCTTTGTCTGTAATACGCCCTTTCACTTCTATGTCCTAAATGCAACATCACGATCGGCCCTTTGGCTTGTCGCGGAATATTCTAAGTCCATGTTGTGCAACTATTCGAGATTTTGTCTCTTAGATAACTTAATAATTGCCTAATGTCTTACAAAATGGGCGATAACAGACATTCGTTAATATCTAATTTATTTATTTATACAATTTACATCACAACCAATTCAAAGATAAAGATATTATGAGTCATTTTGGAACATTAATGGCCGGTTTCCCAGAATTTTACCAGGCGTTTTTAAACTATTAAACTCAAAAACTATTATACTGATTTCAATAATTATTTCGACTAAATAAAGATCATTTACAAGGAAGTAAACTAAGCTGTTTTATAACTAAACTAGTGTTCGCCCGCGACTCCGTGTGCGTGAAATTAAAAAAATCAAGTAGCTAGTTCTTCCAGACTACACTTTACTGAGAAATTTTATCGACATCTGTTTAGCAGTTTAGGCTACAAACTCTAACATACCATCCATTTAAACTCTCGCATTTATCACACACTAGCTTTCGCCGGCGACTCTGTCCGCGCGGAATTAAAAAAATAAAAGTAAGTAGCCTTTGTGGTCTTCCAGATTATCCTCTACATTCATGCCAAATTTCATCGAGATCCGTTTAGCCGTTTAGACTACAAACTCTAAGAAACATCCATCCTATTGATTTTAAACTAGGCTAGAAAACTGTGATATAGAAATAAGATACCTGTAAATTTAGATTTAGACCAATTTTAAACTTTTTTGAAAATAAAAACACCCGCATCCCAGGTCCCTGAGAAATATATGTCAGGGGAGCGACGAGAGCGGCAGAAGCCGCAAAAAAAAAAAACATCCATCCATCGTAACTTTCGCATTTATAATATTTATGTGATTAAATGATATAATAATATAATACTAATAAGACTAATAAAATTAGTAAGTATGATATGATAAAATGTGAATATAACGATCGTATATTAAAAAAACCATTGTCATAACGTATTTAAGGTCATCGAACTTAATCTCGGTATAAAACTAGGAGATAGTTTTATATGAAACATTTTATTTCCGAGACCGTTAATCTTAAATGGTATTGAACTGTCCTGAATAACAGATTGTACCAAAATAAACGTACTAGTAATCGAATGAATGACTTGCTGAACCCATTTTTGCTTCCTCATTCATATTATTATAGCAATTTCGAGCTTATCTATAAGAATAGAAAAACTGTAGAAATTTTATTTCGTATATATTTTTTGTTATTTCACTATTTTCATAAGACAAATAAAAAAACTCGTTTGTTTAATTTTCGGCTTAGAATTGAAATGATGCAATTAAACAGGAATTTAGGATTTAGTTTTACTAAATTGTATAGTATTTTATTGTTTAGAAAATTGTTGACTCTTAGTGTAATTACGTGTAGAGGTCAACGCTTGTTACAACTATTATAGTGTCTGCTTTCACCTTAAACTGTCGTTAGATTGCAATATTTGACTTAATATAAAAAAAACAGTTGAAAAACGAAAAAAAAAATACTATAATTTTTCGCAGCCAATTCAACTGTTTAGTTGCACAACTAAAAATCGAGTAGTGTGCGCACCTCCATATCTTACTTCTTACTAATGTTATAAATGCGAAAGTTTAGATGGATGGATGGATGTTTGTTAGCGTTTGTAGCCTAAACGGTTGAACGGATCTCCATGAAATTTGCCACAGGTTTAGAGCATAGTCTGGAAGAACACATAGGCTACTTTTTATCCATGGAATAGTTATGGTTCCCGTGGGATTCATTAATATAGTTTTTTAATGTTTACTCGATCATTCTACAACGGTACAACATATCTTATTGAAATTTGGCACAGATATAAAACAAAGTCTGGAGTACACATGGGATAAGCTTCATCCCCGAGAAATGTCCGGTTCCCGAGGAATACGTAGCTTTTTGTAATTTTTATAGTTTATATGTTTTCTAATACCACGCGTACGAAGTCGTGGGCAATAGCTCTTAATATCATAAGAATTAACGGAAGACTAAACAGTTGTGTGATATTCAAAAGTGTGTGCATGCTATAAGCAAATAACAGCACTGACAGTGTAAATGTCACTGTTGTAATGATCGAAATGTCACATGTGGTAATTCTTTCATCTCACCCGAGACCGCGTTATTCAAAAATTGAGTAATTTCATTTGTCGTTTGCGCTCCTAATACTGTTTTAATAACATCTTACATTTCATAATCTAGCGTTATTAACGTCGCAAAATAACTGAATGTTACGCGAGGAATTGCAATGAATAATGACACGTTATGTGAATAGCGTTGCAGTGGACTGTTATTTTATAATTATAGCAGTTGTTAAATAGCTATTTTTAGCGGGTGTGAAAACTAGGCAGTATAAAATATTTTTTAACACTAAATTATATCTTCTTAATTAAGCGTCCGCATACCTGAAACTAAACTATCGCACGACTGTCAAGTCTCGCTTCGATTCCTATGAGCTTATACTCGTATGTATGGAGGTGCGTTCACTACTCGATTTTTAGTGTAACTAAACTGTTGAATTGGCTAAGAAACAATCGACAATCGCACACAGTTGAGCGATAGTTTAGTCAAAGGTGTACGCCCGCTCTAAGTCATTAATATCTTTACTCTTATTAATAAAATGATAATACATTATTAGATAACTGTGATTATAGTGTGTCTAAATAATTTAGATTAGTTTGACAATTCATTTCAAATTTAGTAGGTATGGGTTGTGTAAAATCAGTCATGAATCTTATCGATTTTCGATTTTTATTCTTGTAGAAGTTGAAATCGATAGATTTATAGTAATAACTGGTGATTTTTTTTTAAAAACACTGTTTTCTCATATTAATAATGACCATAACAAATAATGAGAGTAAATAAACGTTTAGCCGTACGTAATGGAATTGGATTTCGCTATTATTTCTGTCATCTCTAAATTCTTTACACTATAATCAATACTAGAATTGTCCTGTGAATTAGTTAATAAGAAAATGATAATTTTAATTGAGTTCGATAATTATTTAAACCGAATATCGATAGTTCAAAATCGTTCGCTGTGTGTTTGTTTCGTCACTACGATACCTGTCTATTAAGTATGGCATTTGCCTTCATACAAATTGAATTCGATACTTCATATGCGTCATTTATCAAACTAATCTATCTTACTTAGACAAACAATAGTGATTAATTTTATATCTCCTCTGTCTACCTTATTACACTTATATATTTGCTATTATAATTAGCCTCTGTCTACATTACTCTTGTCAAAATGTTTCTTCACCTTCTGGATCCTTAGAATTACTCAATAGTAAACTACTTTCATAGTTAGACATATACTTAACTAAATTCGTGTTGTATTTGATTGCATGCTGTACCGTATGATTTCCGAGGGTCCACTAGTATTGCATAAATTTGTCGGTTGGTTGAACTCTTGGTATCGTCGGTTGGTTTAAACGTGGACGAACAATGTTCCGATCTATCACCGCTTTCACCGAGCTAGTAACGCGACATCTGGTGGCAATTACTGTAAAACTACTGTTATGCTACTTGATTAATGTTGACGACATTGAAATTACTGTTTTTTATTATTATTGTTATTTGAAGACATATATTTGTTTCAGGAACAAGTTGCACCAGTACAAGAAAATCAGGAGGAAGATAAATCAAGTGGGTAAGTAGACAGTTTTATAAATATACTGTTAAAACTGAAAGTTAAGTCACATTTGCATGAAATGTTCCAAACTTAACTGAAACACACTATGTTTTTATCACGTTCAATTTAACCATAATTAAACTATACGTTTCATTTTCCAGAAGCGGTCAAACAGAAGAATACCGTCCCGGGCAAGTGTTCTCATTGAACGCACAGGAACTGCTTGAGCTGCAGCCGGAGAGGAAGGCGCCGCTGGCCAGCAGTCAACAGCTGCAGCAGTTATACAACCCGCAGCAGGAACACAAGCAGAACTTACAGCAAAATCTGCAGCAAAATTTACAGCAGAATTTACAGCAAAACTTACAGCATAATTTGCAGCAGAGTTTACAACAGAATATACCTTTCTACTACCTGGACCCTCAACTCGCAGGACAGGTGAATGCTTGCTTTATTAAAATCTAAGCTAAATAGAATGCAACCCGAGGGCAGTTTTGGATGCATTCTAAAACTTGTATGTAAGCCATCACAGATGTTGCCTGTTGAGTCACCGACATTCACAACTATTCAAAAATAGTTACATTAAGAACCTGCTCGAATAAAAATAATATTACTTCCAGGTGTCACTCCAACCATCTCATACCGTTATCGCTCGCCCTCATTACACGTCCAACGGTGGGGAAGCGTCAGTGGGAGCCGCGCTTTCGGTGAGCGACAGTGGCAGCGCGACAGCACATCCCTTCGACCAGGAACTCCTGGCACTGCTCAGCCAGGCGCGACAGGAAGACGATAGACCGCAGATTTACTCGCAGCAAATCCTACCTCAGGCCCTTGGACAACAGTACCAGCAGGTGAGATAAATCGTTTGCTGATAAAACTGTGTTATCATTATGTTAATGAAACGCCGATTTATTGATTTTTTTTGTATTTCAGGTTGAAAGATACGTAACAAAAACTAGTAAAAAACCAACTAAATTGCGTCCGAAGGTACAAGTGGTACCAACACAAGCCTCAACCGCCCCTCAGCAATATCTTATCGAAACAACCAACGTGCAATCTCAAGCGCCGGCGCTACAGTACCGGCCCCTACAGTCACAGCGTACTGGACAAACCCTACGCTATATTCCCTTGCAAGTCGCCCAGCCCGCGATATCCCAACCATTGTACGAACGTCCAGAATCTCAAGGTTTGAAGATAGTCCCAGCTCCAAATCTGCAAAACCTACAGCCGCAATCTCAAGGTAACTACGTCTTCGTACCACAGTATCAACAAGCAGAAGTAGCTCAGCCAAAACAATACAGGTTCGTCGACACACAAAGACAGACGATACAGACCGTCAGACAAGAACAACCTAGAATCGCGCTCTCTAACGTAGAAAGACCAGTGGCGTATTTAAAACGATTCCCTGAGCCCGAAAAGGCACGTACAGTTAAAATTTACAACCAATCCGGTCTTGAAAGTGTAGCTGTTCCCCAAGGTCAAAACGAACAATACTACATTAGACCGTTATACAGACAGAACGAGCAAAGACCTAGATACGATCTCTCTGCGTTAGCTCTAAGATCTTTTGAACAGGCAAGAGCTGTTGAATCAACTAAATCTCCTTTGTCAACGATTTACGTCCACAAGAACACTGCACCTAAGAAAGTGGCGAGACCTTCAGTAAGGATAGAAACTCAAAGGGAACAATCGGCTAGTTCTGAATATCCTATTGAACAAGGCAGAGCTTTAGAATACCAGCGCCCTCAGTTGCCACCACCGAAGAATAACAAAGCGTATACTCCAGAAGAATTTGACGCGTTAGTAGCTGCAGGTTACTCTGTGACGCCGATACCCGTTGGGAATGTGGGTGAAGCAGCGCAGTCCCGATCTTCAGCAGAAGTGGTACAAATCCCTCAACGACGCGTATACAACAAACGTAATCAATACTTACCTCTAAGATCTGACGAAGCACCTTAAATAACGACTATTGTACAGAAATTTTAGAATTAACGCTAGATAATTAAAATATTTTGTAATTTATTGGTCTTTCATTTTAAAAATATATGTAGCAGTTTGACTTCTCATTAAAGTCTTTTTCACGTGATTTAAAAATTATCATTTCTGGGTTTCTTTTCGAAAAAATGTATAGATTGAACTGAGTTATGTCTTGCCAGTGGAATCGGACATTAAATAAAGTGTATATTTATTTGATTAGTACAATGTTTTAGTTACAATAACAAACAGGGGTCAGTCTTCTCTATAACGCCTTAAGCCCTCGAGGGAATTTGTGTCTCAAATCTTTGTAGTCAATAACTTCAACCTTAGTTGTTTGAAGGCTTCTCATTTTGCGTTCAGGACTCAATTGTTTGATAATGGCGTAACAAATGAATTTATTAAAAATTATTTCAATAAAATAAATTAACGTTAATTTATAAAATGATTTCCTTTGGACTTTAGACGTAATCTATTGAATCGAATAGAGCGGTAATTAAAGGGTTCTAAGCTTTGCAATTATTATTTATTTATTTGATCAGCGATATAATTAAGGTACCCCCATTTTCTATTTGAGTGAAAGTTTTCGTTTATTTGTGAAAAATGAGATCATAATTAAATTAAAATACATTAAAATGTATATTCCACAAATATAACATTACTAGCTGCTGCTCGCGACTTCGTCCCGGTGAAATTTGATAATATAGTCTATGTTACTCAGCGACAACGTGTCTTTTTAATGGTGAAAGAATTTTTGAAATCGGTCTAGTAGTTTTTGAGTTATTTCAATACATAAAAAACTATTATATAAATCTTTCCTCTTTATATCAGTATATATATAGATAAAAAATCTAAATTATACAAGAACATTTTTTTAATTAGTTTCTTACTATTCAATTTTTCCTCGCTGATGTAAGAGAGATTCGAGCGTTGTAAGTCTCGGGCAAGTAAACCAGAAAATTAGACCGAAATTGAATTTGAGTCAGGGAACAAATTTCATTATAAGGGTAATATTCTTGGGAAATGTATTTTTATCATCTTATACCAGGCAAATTCTTCATTCAATGCTATCTATCGGAGACGAATTTGTCTACGTAAAATTCTAATGGTAAAAGAATTTTTAAAATCGGCCCAGTAGTTTTTGAGTTATTTCAATACATACAAAAATACAATTTTTTCCTCTTTATAAAATTGTATTGTACACATATGTACATACGCTTACATTATTAATATAAATAAAATTTAAATAAAATATACATGCGTATAATAATGGTTTCAAGATACAAATGCTATACAAAGTAGATACTAAAGTCACAATACGACATCTATCCCATTACGCATAATGTAAGGCAACCCGCTCTCGTTCAAACACAATAACAAAGGTTTACACTTCCGCGTATTTCCTTACTTTATCATTATTCACGCCACTTTCAAGAGCCAAGACCGCGCTTCATTTGTTTATTTACCTAATGCCTACATAAATTAATGCTTGCACCTATTAGGTAAAAAGGTAAGGTTTTACACAACGGAATTGTCTAAAGAAAATCAATTAACCCATCTTCTTATATTATTTGATTTTATATAAATCTCAGGGTAAACGAGATGAGGGAACACCGAAGTGATTAACAACGCAAATTACCATTTACAATACAATTATAAAAAAAATATTAAAATAATATACCAGAGGAACTACAGATGCCAAGGTTTCTGAGAAGGCAGTACGCTCGTTTCTGTAAAGACCGTAAGTCGTAGCGATTGGAAAAATCATTCCACAACGCGGCTATGCGAGGCAAGAATTTATTAAAAATCGAACGTAGTACTCAGATCGTATTATATTTTATGTGTGTATGTATGTTTATTATTTACTATGTATGTTTTATGTGTTTGAACAATAACAATTTCTTATTTAAATAATTTATTGGCGCATAAGAATAAGAAATAGACAAGTCGACAGACTTTTAGAGATGTCTATACCAGAGGTGGCGAACATTTATGCATCAGAAATGTGTAATGCGGTCTTAACCGTGCCATCCAATAATTTTGATTGCGATTATTAGTCAATTCTATGATGCACCTAGTTTATAATTTTTCCATAGTGTTTTTATGATTATTGACGTGCTCAAAATATTATGTCGTGTGTTATTTATGGCACGGGTGCCAGAGGTTCGATACCCCTGCTTTATACCGCTAGTTGTGTAAACAAAGGCAATTTTTGTCTCAATAGCTTTGTATAGAACATCAAATCCATAATCTTCCCTTTCAAACAACAATCTTCTCAAATAATGTAGCTGTACTCATAAAAAAACTATAAAGATTTCGTTTACTCTGTACGAAGTCTATTTGCAATAAAAACCGCTCTTTATTAAGAAATTTAAGGGATATTCCGTAAGTAGCAGTTAAATAAAAAGCAATCTTTGAAGTAACTGTCTTTATAATGGCTAAAAAAGAAACGGATATCTCTGATAAGGATATTTGTACAAGAAAGGTAGAACTATATTAGTTATAGCTAAATTACGAACAGGACACTTCTCAATATTGTTTTGAAATGTCCACAATAAAGTAGAATCTAACGCTTAGTCCAAATTGGTTTTTACTTTACCAATATAATATTTATTTCTCGTTTTAATATTATTGCTATTCATGACTGACAGGCGTCAATCATGAATAGCAATAATATATAAAATACATACAATATAAAATACATCTATATGAAACTTGATTGAACATAAAAATATTAGATAAATATAACAACAAACAAAACGAAAAGAAATGCGTAGGCATTATTTGAATTGTATGTTTTATAAATGCACTTTGAATTCTTTATTACTTTAAACTTCGCCTTTATCATTTTTCTTTTGTTGGCTCGCAAACAAACAAGTGAAGATGAAACATGTACGGATGAGGGCACTTTAAAAGCAGAAATTTATTTTCTTTCCTTATGGTTTTCAATTAGGTACATGGTGTATTTTGTACATAAAAAGTTGAATAAATGAACACATTATAAGTAACTAGCTGTTGCTCGTGACTTCGTCCATGTGAAGTTATAAAATAATAAAAAGAAAACACATAGCTTATGTTACTCGGCAGTGTTAGAAATTTCGACACAAATGACTTCCTTTAAAATATAGACGGACGGCCATATAAACAATACTTGTAAATTACTTTAAAACACACAAACTGAACTCCAATGCGACATCGCAAATATATCGAAAGTTCCGGTATAACGACTAGTAAAACACTGAGCTTGTTGGCAACTGAGCGCCGAGACTGCAACTGAGCCCGAGCCACTCCTTGCCATATATTTTATTAAACTACCCCCACTATTCCTTCCGTTTCCTAATATTTTCCTAACAATATTGTTGTTTTAAATAATAATAAATGTATTGATAAATAGCACAGATTGACAAATAAGTTTTAAGAATAAAGAATACATCAAAAATAGTTAAAAGCTAACAACTATAACATAGTTTTTATAGGCGAAAGAATATTTGAAATCGGCCAAGTAGTTTTTGAGTTTTAACTTTGAGTATTAAATTATTAACACATACAAAAATGTAAATCTTTTCTCTTTTAAACATTACTTTAAGTAATCGATTTTGAAATTAACAAAAAAAGACGCTTAAAGAACTTCCAATATCAGGAATAAATGTTTTAATTGAAACTGCAGGGTTTCAAGTAAATCTCCTTTCAGCGGGCGCTCGCTATAAAAAAGCAAATGGAACAAAAAATATCGGAAACCCTGTTAACGTTCGTTAAATCCGCTTAGAATTCGAAAAGCTTATACTGGTTAATTTTTTTTAAACTTTTTTATAATTCCTTTCGAAGGTCGGCGATTGTTAAAAAATACTCTCATTAAATTTCATAAATATTTTTCTTAGAAGTAAATTCAACATTACGTTTTTGCAACATTTAATTATTTTTAAATCTATTGTGATATATGCACAAAGGATCAATTTCGTAGCATACCGTAACAATTTCGTAGAGGGTTCGTAGCTCGCATCCGAGCTACGCTTTGATTAATTGGGTCTCTGCATATCTACGCAAATAGATCTGCTGTCATGGAAATTGATCACTACCTCGCTGAATCTGGGTCACAACTATTTTAAATTCACGCAAGAATAAACATTGCAATTTATATTCTTCGCATTAATTTGCAATTTATTTATTTTACTAAAAGTATATTAAGAGCCTGATTTCTATGAGCTTATATGGAGGTGTGGACAAGACTCGATTTTTAGTTGTGCAACTAAACAGTTGAATTAGCTGAGAAACAATCGACTATCTGTTATGCGATAGTTTAGTCTAACGTGTGCGCTTTTAAATCATACTAATATTATAAATGCGAAACTGTAGATGGATGGATGGATGTTGGAGTTTGTAGCCTAAACTGCTGAACGGATTTCGATGAAATTTGGTATTGATGTAGATGTCTGGAAGAACATCTATCTACCTTTTGTTTATTTTAATTCCACGCGGACGGAGTCGCCGGCGAAAGCTAGTTTATATATAAACAAGGGGATGAAGAGATGGAATGCACCAAAATCATAACAAATCTATTCGAACGAAAATCCAATACATCAAGGGCATTGGATCAAATATGCACAGATATGAAAACCTCATAGAAAATGTGTTTACTTAGTTTGATCATTGTTATGTATTTGTACTACATATCGTTGGGCGAAAGGCTATTTGTTTTAAGCGCCATTAGGTAAAATGTTCACGAGAGCCATTTAAAGTCTTCATTTAAAAAAAAACATAAATACAAACCCTAAAAATAATTTCAATTGAAAGATTTTCAAACCGGTTCTAGATTATAATTACTATAATTCTGCATACTTCATTATTTATTTCATATTTTAAATTCTGAATATATGAGTCAATATCGCTTAAAATGGCGTTTGAAACAAAAAGCGTTTCACCCGTCGATATGTGTTATGTACCGTAACTGAAATAAAAGTAAATGAAACGGTGACCTAAAACTGTTCAAAATCAATCGATTTAATTACATTCATATAATATTTAAAGGGAACACTTGCGTGACGACTGTA